TCGGCCATGTAAAACAGTCGGTATAGTGTACAATTGGATATCAGAATATTCAATACTTAAACAAATTTGAAGCAAAACAAAAATATTCATTAAAAGGAAGCCGGTCATTAAAGACCGGCAAAATATTCAGAGCCCCGGCCCCTGGCCGGGTAAATACAAACAAACAGCACGCAGGCCGTGGAAAGAAGACATAAAGCTTAAGAAGGGGGCAGATCTTCAATATTAGCAGCTGCCGCCTGGTCAGCACTCTTCTTGCTGGACTCGGCTTCAGCTGCATCCTTCTTTGATGCATTACCCCCAAGCGGCACAAGCGCCACTACCGGCTGCTCCTCCTCCTCCAACGCCTCTTCCTCAGCAGCCGCCAGGATCTCTTGATTATATCTATCAGAACACTGGCGGTACGTTTTTTCCCATGAGGCAAAGTCGGCATTGGGGAAGAGGTGGCCCCAAGTCATGCGTTGGATTTGAGCAGAGTCTTCCATCATCTCCCGGACCAACTCTTTCTTTTCTTGCTCGGCCTTTTCCGAGAGCTCCTGAGTAAGACTCTTCTCCTGGGTCACCAGGCGTACCTTTACGCTCGCCAAGGATTTCTCCAAGGTTTCGTATGAGGACATCTTTTGGCGAAGAGGTCTCAGCTCGGCCTTGAGGTTGTTGATGGTCGCCTCCAGCTCGATATTCCTCTTCTGGGCCGCCTCTAACTGAGCCCGGATAGCGGCGGTAGCCTGCGCCTGATAATAAAGAATATCAATGGTCAGAACTTCATTTTGGGCAATTTGAAACATTGCCTTATCACAGTCAGAGGCGGCCATAGCTTTTGCAGCCTTTACCTCTTTGTTCTTCCAGTCAAGCGGCTTGCAGAGGTCGTTCACTCGGAGCAGGGCCTAAGTAAAAATGGGAACAGGCGTCAGTTTCCAAACAAAAAAGAAAACAGGCGTCCTGGAATTCAAATACTCAAAAATATGCTAAGTATACCTCAGAAAGGACCCCTGCAATCCCGTCTAGGTCAAGGGTGCCGACACCCCTGACCGCCTCCCTTTCAGCTGGAGGAACGACCTTGATCATAGACTTGGCCACCTCGACCAAGTCAGGCTCCTGAGGGCCGGCTGCATCAAGCATAAACAAACGGATTAGACCTAGTAAAGAAGGGAGCAAGTCTAAAATTTACAAGGATAATTTCATACTTCTAGGTGGCCCAGCTGAAGTTTTAGAAGAAGTGGCCGGCTGTTTCTCAGCCGCCACATGTTTCCTGGCAGAACCAGGAGAGCTCGCAACAGTCGTCCTCCGGGCCTTGGGGTCCGGCTGTTGGGAAGAAGAAGCTCTTGGAGCGCCCGTCTAAAAAAGAAGAAAAGAGTCAGTATATGCATAAACACAACTCCAAAAAGAGGGTGAAAGGTTCGAAGCCCACCAAGGGTGCCCCCTTGTTGGGGGAGTCGGTTGAAGACTGTTGCATGATGGAGGCCCGCAACATGGCCGCCGCAGTCTTGGAGGCGGTAATTTTGCTCATGGCGTCCGTTGCAAAAACAAATAGCAAAGTTAATAAGAGTCATAACAAGAAATGCATGGAACAACAGAGTATTTGACAGGCCGGCTACCTCTTGAGCACCGACTGCTGAGGCCACAGGCGGCCAAAAAGTACTCGTCGTAGAGCCATTTGAAGCTCGGGACGCAGTGCAGGGGTACTTGCTCTCGTACCCCTGAAGTAGAGTTCACCTTCGACTCTACTTTGAAGAGTCCTTTATCTAGGATCTCTTTCTTAGCCTTGGGGGGAACAGGCGGCATGCTGCGGCCGCCTGCAAGAAGGGGCGGATTCCTGTTCCACCTGTTGAAGCGCTTGTTCAGCTCTGTGTCTGAACTCTCAATGATAAGGAAGGTGCTCCGCCAGTCCTTCCATTTGTTTGATTTACCTCTCGTCATGAGGTAGCCCCTGTGGCTCGTCAATTGATACCAGCCGGTACCGCCTGCCTTAGGGGTCCGGCTAAGGTAGTTCATGTGGGCGAAAGCCTCGAAGTTTGGCTCCACCCCGTGCAGTTCGCACCCGGCCACATAGCCGAGTACGTTGACCCAAGAGTTCGGGGCTAACTGCCATAACCCCAACTCATACCCATCCAAGATCCGCTGAACAGCCGGATGTAGTGGGAAGCGCAGCCCAGCCTTGATGGCCGCCTCGTAGCAGCCAAAGCAGGCGCCATCATAACTGGTACCAGCCGGCCAGACGACTGTGTCTTCTGGATCCGGCACGAACACTAAAAAGTCGGGGCCCATTGTGTGGTTTGCGATAAAGCTCTCCACTTTCTCTTGCATGGCTGTGATCCGGCCCCGAGGTACCGTGCAGTAGTAGGGGGTATTTTGCTCTCGGTGAGAGGCGGATGGCTCCGCCCAATCGTCCCCCTTCTCAACTGCGTGAGAAAGCCTCGCCTCTTGCAGGCGACTGTTTTTCTCTTCTGTGTCCAGAGAAGCATGGACAAAAGAGCTAGACTCGGATCCTCTGACGAGTCCGAAGAGGACGACTCTTCCCCTCTCCCGGAGGGGCCCGCCTCCTCTCCTTTAAAAGGAGCAGGAGAGAATGTAGAATTGTCAACTGTAAAATGGGAAGGGGTCACTTTGACTCCTCCCTCAGAACTGTCGGCTTTCAAGCCGCTTTGTTTCACTTCCACATCTGGCGCCTGGTCAGATGTTTCACTAATCGGCACCCTATGGGAGGAGCCGTCTGAGTTTGAGATCCTGGCAGTCTTTTTTGTTCTGGCCATCATGCTCTGCATAGACACAGATACAGTCGGACTTTGTATAAAGGGCAAAGATGGGTCCAGAAAAGGGCAGGCGGCACTCCTAGTCCTAGATTCAGTCGTCCCCAGTGACCGGGTGATCACTAACCTAGGTCGTGTCGTGTGCTTCCGTGGTGCCATTTCAAAAAAGAATAAAGAGAAAATTAAGAGTAAGAGAACCGACGGTTACCTGAACGAGTGACGATTGATGAAGTTCTGAAAATCCTTTGCAGTCGGCTTGTCAGAGCAGGCGGTAGGCAGAAAGGGTCCAAAATGTCAGAGCAAGTTCAGGGGTCCGAATGTTCTCTCACAAAGTTTTCAAGTGTGAAAATGACCGAAGTCAACACTCCTTTATATAGGCGAAGTGAGAAGGCGAAGGGTCACTTCCAGAATTCAAAATTTTGGCGGGAGAATCTCTCGGCCTCTCGCCGAGTGACACCTGTAGCAAGTCGTCGCCTGTTACAGGGCGATACCTGTCACAGGTAACACGTGACCAGTCACGTGCCACTTGTGAGGGGCAAATGATTAGGGGATTTTTCCCCACCAATCACCATCTGACAAGTGGACCAATCAGGTTCCGCCATGTGTCCGTCACATGGGCCAATAGGAGCCTGCCACGTGTCAAGCAATGATCCGTCCACTATGGACCAATTACGACACGACACGTGTCCTTCCCATGACACCTGGGATAACCGGTCACCTAGACCCAACTTCCGTGGGAAGCCCAATCAGCCCAAGGTTAACCTAAACCTAGATTGGCACGTTTCCCGAGGTTATAAATACCTCCCTTAATCCTCATTAAGGGAGATTACGCAGATTACACACATTAAACTCTCTCACCTAGAGAGACCCAATCACTTTAATTTCCGCATTAATTACTCCTTAATCAAGTACTAACTTGACCGTCGGAGGCGGATCTCCAATCATCCGGAGCATCCGTTTGTTTTGCAGGTACAGGCGTCCGGTTCCAGTCTCGGAATTGTAACTCTCCTGCAGGACATCAGAAAACTCCGAAACAATTGTAGTACGAGAGAGGAAGGAAACAAGGGGGAGAATAAGAGGACCGTGGGTTTAAGAGAATAAAGAGGAGGAAGGAAATTCTGGTTTTTGGTGTGAATGAATGAAGGGGATTAAGGGTCTATTTATAGGTGATTAAGGGTGGAAAAGATAGAGATTAATGTATGATATGATTACTAGAAAACATGATAAGTTTTGGGGTTGTTAAGGTACTTGAACCAAATTAAGTCTAGATTAGTTGGGTGTAAAAGATGAGTAGAAAGTTGATAAAGTTTTATTTGATTGGAGGATTAGAAGAAGGAAGATAGGGATAAAATAAGATGATGGAGAGGGTTTAATGGTTAAGTAAAGAATAAGATAGAAATAACAAAATAATTATTATTTTTTATTTATATATATAGATAGAAAACTTTCGGCCAGCTGATATTAAGAAAAAAATCTGTTTTTTTTAATTATTATTAAAAACGAAAATCATATTTAAATGGATAAAATAATTAAATTTGATATTTAAATTAAGTTATTATAAATACATAAATATTTTAGATAATATCAAACTAAAATTTGTTAAAAATCATAATGTATATTAGGTATTATCTTTAAAACTCTTGGAATTTCTAAAAAAATATGGATTGACCTTTAAAAGATAATTAAACCAATATTATTAATTTAGATATCCGAAAATAATTAATTATTCAAATGGTTAAGTGCTTATATTTGGCGCCAAAATTTCAAATTCATTTTGGCTCCAATTTAAAAAATTCTAGGAATTATTAAAATATTTTCCCAAAATTCGGGGTATTACACTTAGGGTTAGGGTTAGTTAGGGGGTGGTGGAGTGGTGGTGGTCTAATGTGGGGGGTAGTGGCGGTGGTTAGGGGTGTTCAGATCCGGGTACCCGAAAATCCGGATACCCGGATCTTCGGGTAGTTGATAAGTCGGCCCATGTCCCGTCCCGGATAATTCGGGGTACCCGAATACCGAGTATCCAAATTATCCGGGACGGGACACAGGTACCCGGTTTTTTTTCACTATTCAAAAACTACTTTCAACAACTCCTTACAATCCCCCTGAATCTCACAATGTCTCCATAAAATCTCTCCTTCAATCCCTTCTTCCTTCCAAAACATCCATTTCCACCAACATATCTCCTCAGATTAGGGATTTCTCTCTCCTCTGTGCATTGCTATCTTCTTCATACACTTTAACTTCACCTCTTCTAAGCCGGATTCCTCAACATCTCACTATTTCGGCGAATTCGGCTATTCGAGCTCTTTCAGAAGCTGTTTATGGCGATTCAGACCCAAATTTGAGGTTTGAGAAAAGATTGATTGTTGAATTGATACCGAAGGTGGTCCATTTGATTAAGGAAACGATTAAGGAGAGTTCCATCGGTGGTGGTGAAATTTCTGCGGCGTCTTCTAGAGTTCCTACTGTATGTATAAGAGATCAAGAGTTTAAGACAGCACGATTTCTAGTCAATTTGAGGCCATTTGATTTTTATTTTATTGTTTTATTTAATTTAATAATTTTTTTATTTTTATTTTATTTGTTTGCATATTTCTTTCCTCGTGTCCAGTGGCGGACCCACGTGTAGTCATAGTGGGTCCGCAGACAACCTATTATTTTCTATAAAAAAAAAAAACTAAGTATCAAGAGTTTTAGCTTGTAGTCTGGTGGTTTGTTCCCCATCCTACCACATATGAGATACGGGTTCGACTCCCATTACTCTCAAACTTTTTTTTTTTTTTGGCTTTACAACCTCATTTTCACAATTTCACGATTTTAGAAAAGTCAGAAGGCAGAAATATCCCCAAATCCCCAATTCCCCCAAATTGAAACCCTAAGTCTCAAAGTCACCCAATTACCCAAGCCCGTCGCCGTTCACCGTATCGCCGCCTCGCCGGCAGCCCGACAGCCTTTTCGTGCTTCTCCGTCAGGTATGAGTAAGGCGTCCGTCAAATCGTCAATTCGTCTGTGAGTTTGTTAGCGTCGTGCTCGTGCAGTGGCTCCCCAAATTCGATTTTTTTGAGGTTAGTTTTAAACTTTTAATTTATATAATTACATTGCAATAAGATTATAGAGATTAGATTCTATATTTCTATATGAAATCATCAATTTAAATGTTTAAATCAAAATTATCAGTATGTTTAATATCACTATATCAGTGTATGAGTTTTTTTTTTTTTTTTTTGGGTGAAATTTCTTGATTTGATTAGTGCTTGATTATTTGTATGACTTTATTAAAGCTTGAATGTTATGACTTGATTATCGTCACTTGATTAGAGATTGAATGTTATGACTTGATTATCGTCACTTGACTTTATTAAAGCTTGAATGTTATGACTTGATTATTTGTGCATGTTCCTGATACTAGTTCTTTGACTCTCAAAGCTGCTATTGAGTCATTACTCATGGAACACTCTTTAACTTTCTCTCAAGTTCGAGGTCAAGGTTATGATGGGGCAAGTAATATGCAAGGTTCAATCAATGGCCTTAAAACTCTAATATTGAATGAATGTTCTCAAGCATACTTTGTTCATTGCTTTGCTCATCAACTTCAATTGACACAAGTTGCACTTGCTAAGAAAAACTCAGATTGTGGTTGGCTTTTTGTTGACGTACTTGCACCTCTCTTGAACTTTGTGGGAGGTTCACCTAAGAGGAAAGAATTTCTTCGAGAAAAACAACGTCAAGGGGTTGTAGAAGCATTATCTTTGGGTGAAATTGAATCGGGAACTGGTTTAAATCAAGAACGTGGCTTATGTAGACCTTGTGATACTCGTTGGGGATCTCACTTTAAAACCATTTTGAATGTGCTTGATTTATATCCTTCAATACTTTTGTCACTTGATTCCATTGCAGAAGTATCTGATACACTTGATTCGAATATAGCACAATTATTACACACTTGTTGATGTCATTTGATTTTGTGTTTGTGGCACACTTGATGGTTGATATGTTTGGCATTACAAATGCGTTGAATGTGGCATTGCAAAAACATGATCAAGATATTGTAAATGCAATGGTCATGGTTGATGTAACCAAGACTAGTTTGCAAAAGTTGAGAGATGAAGGATGGGATTCACATATGGAAAAAGTCACTTCTTTTATGGCTAAATATGACATTGAGGTTCCAAACATGGAGGGGCGATATGTGGTTCCTGGGAGAAGAATGTATAGAGGTAAAGGTCCACATGTGACTAATCTTCATCATTTTAGAGTTGAAGTTTTTCTAAGTGTCATTGATCTTCAATTACAAGAACTTGAAAATCGATTTCCCGAGGTAAGTAAGGAATTACTTGTGTGTATGTCTTGCTTTAATCCTGCAAATCGGTTTCATTCTTTTGACAAAAGAAAGTTAGTTCAACTTGCTAAATTTTATCCCGATGAATTTTCAAGCTCTGAGTTATTATTTTTTGAACATTCACTTGAAAATTTCATTGTTGATGTTCGAAATGATGAGAGATTTTGGAATTTGAAAAGTCTAACTGAACTTTCTACGAAACTTGTTGAGACGGGAAAGTTTGAAACTCATGACCGAGTCTACTTACTTTTGAAGTTAGTGTTGATTCTTCCCGTTGCAACGGCAAGTGTAGAAAGAGTATTTTCTAGAATGACGCAAGTTAAAGATAAATTGCGTAATAGCATGGGAGATCAAATGTTAAATGATTGTTTGATTACTTATCTAGAAAGAGATTTGTTTTACAATGTTAGCATGGATGATATTATACATCGTTATCAAAATATGAAAACTCGTCGAGAGCAATTGTAATAAAATTAGTACTTTTTTAGTTGTAATATGAATTTGAATTACTTTATGAAATGAACTTTTTATGTATTTTTTTTTGTCCATCATTCAAGCTTTGACTATTTTTTGATATTTTATGCGGTCGGTGGACGATGATGGGATGGGATAACCTATTATTTAAATCCTGGATCCGCCACTGCTCGTGTCAAAGTGCTAGTGTGAATGGTTGTTATCTGAGATCTAGTGAAACTACTACTATTAAGAAGGGGGCATTTTTGTTTATCAAGTTTATCTATAAATTCAGTACAACATTAATTTTTTTTTATCCATCTGGCAGTGGCAGTGTTAAATTCTTCTTCTTCTTTTTTTTTTTTTTTTGGTATCCGGGTACCTGATAATTGCAATGCTTGTCCCATGTCCCGGCCCATGAAAATGCTATTTTATCGGGACGGGTACCCGACCTGAAAAAAACAGAAAATTTTGAAAATCTCCCGTCGGGTTTTTTGCGGGTCATCGGGAATTCGGGACGAGACAACCGGGTCAGGTTTTTTTTAACACCCCTAGCGGTGGTGGTCTGATGTTGGAGTTAGGGTTAGTTGGGGGTTGGTGGTGGTGATACGCCGTGTCGGTGGTGGCGTGGCGTGTTTTTTTTTAATTTCATTAAATCAGTTTCCGACGGAATTTCCGTCGAAATTTTCCGGCGGATTTGTGTCCATCGGAAATTTCCGACGGACTTTTCCGATGCCGGAATTTCTCTTCCGACGAAACAATTTTGATGAAATTTCCGTCAAAAAAGGTCGTTTTTCCTACAAAAGGGTTTCCGACAACCGCTTCCAACGGAAATTCCGTTGAAAACGGGTTTTCTGACGGAATTCAGGGTGATTCCGACGGAATTTTTCCGTCGGAAAGGGCCTGTTTTCTAGTAGTGTTCCTTTCCTAGTTTTGTGCACAAAATTGCACGATTACTATCTTGGCGCATTAAATGCACTACTAAACTTCATTGACTCAAACTCAACTTACTTGAGTGAGTAAATAAATAAAATAACTTCTTGACTCAACACCAATAATAAATGGGTGAGAAACAAATTTATGAATCATGATCAATGACTCTAACTTTAGCTCTTTAACTCATATATAAGTCTTGCTTATTAAAATACATGCCTTCTTGATACTTGAAAATAAAACATAATTCCATGATTCATGCATACTCAAAATGTATCATGCCTCAAATAACATATTCACATGCTTGCATAATAATTCATGCTCATTCCACATTAATTCCAAGCATATAATCAAGCAAACATGCTACTAATTCATCACTTAACTCATACTTTACAATCCTAGCATGATACTATACATACACAAATATTCTTGTGCACACTCGCTAAAAAATCACCTAGCTCGAACCTTCCTACAAATAAGAATACATAACTATAATTAATCCACTATTCTCACAAATTTTCAGCAACTATAATACACTTTAAACCTTACTAACTAACCCAATTTAATGACTAAAAGCCATAAAACCTTCTCTTTAAGTGAGTACTTCAAATCCTTTCAAAAAGACTTAATTTTTATGAATTAAATAAAATTCCAGCATACTTATTTAATATAAAACATCACTAGTAAACTAGGAAATCATATTTAAATCATTAAAACCTTTTTCCCTTTTATGGGTAATCAAACCCTAACTCAATAATTAAAAAGTAGTGTGCATAGATAAATTTCAACATTAATTTGAAGGCTTTAAACTCATTAAAAAAATGTTTAAACCATTTATTAAACAACAACATAAACCTAGGATCAAACCCTAACCATAAACATTAAATTCCCAAATTCTAGGGTTTGTAAATTGGAGTTTTTGATTGAATAAAAATCTGAAAATTATATAAATAATTTAACACCATCAAATACCCAAAATCAATACCAAAACATAATCGAAATCATACTTTAAATTAATAAAAATAATAGAATTAATTAGGAAGAGAAAAAGGGTTTTTTTTTTTTTTTATAACACTACCAACCGAAAACCAAAGGAGAGGGTGGTCGGCGGGCTGTCGGTTGCTACTGCTGCCGCTGGTGGTGGTGGTGGCGCCGGTGGCTGCCGGCATGAGGGGAGAAGAAGAGGTAGAGAGAGAGGCGTGGGGAAGGAGAGGAAAAAGAAGAGAAAAAAGAGAGGGAAAATAAGGGGAAAGAGGAGAGAGAAAATAAAGAGAAAACCTTGGAATTTTTTTGTGAAATCTAACAATTATGATTTAAGAGTGAAAAATCTTAAGGTCTTGAAGTATAAACTCATAATTACAAAACTGTCATTATTAAATCCTACTCTCCCTTGACTTCTTCCTTTAGGGCCAACTTGTTAGGCTTTTAAATGTCTTCAATTCCCCAACAAGTTGATCCAACTATTAAAATTAAGATGACCCAATTCAAAACACTTTTATTGCCTCAATTGATGACCCATATTATTTTATGCACACTTACATATTATTTAAATAATTAATTTCTTTTAGAAATGAAATGAATCATTTTAATTTATAAAATAAATAATTTATATATATAAAAATATTATAAAAATACGGAGCATTACAACCAGCCTCTACCACCACCGTCGTCGAACTCATACCACAACAACATTACGCCACCACCACTGTCGCCAAACCGTCGAGATCCCAACCCACACCCAGACCCAGACCCAGACCCAGACTTAAACCCAAAAACCGCCCTACTCCTCTCACCCTCACCCTCACCTGAACCCAAACCCACACCTAGAAACCAAATCGGGGCTAAGGTTGGGGTACGGTTGGGCTGGTTATGACGATCGAGGGTGGTCGGCTAGGCTGGTATATTCGGCCGAGGGTCGTTGGCTGGGTTGGGATGACGACGGTGGGAGCAAGGGGAACCGACGCCGGTGGTGAGGGTGGTGGCTAGGTTAGGATTTTATGGTTTTCCTTTTTTTTTTAATTTTAATTTTTTTTAATCTAATAAATAATTGACATTGTATAATGTGGGGCTCACTAACGGTTTTTTGGATGGCATCAGTTAAGTGGTGGTGAAATCCAATTTTTTGGTGTTTTTGTGGTGTTATAATAAAAGTTTTAAATTTTGTGGTGCTATAATCCATTTTGTGACTTTTATGTGGTATTATTTTGCAAAATACCTCATTTTTATCTTGAAAATAATTAGTAAAAAAAATGATCACAGGGCGGACCGGGTTGGACTAAAAATAAAATTTCAAACTAATTAATCGAACCAAGCCGGGGTCAAGGATCGGATTGAAAGTGCTTGCCTAAAACTCGGAAAATTAAACCGACTTTGAAAACGAAAAATTAAAATAAAAAAAAAAAGAAAAAAAAAAGGGTTGTGTCATGCTCAACTTCAGGCTGAAAATTTTCGCTCAAAATCAGGCTTAACTCATGGGCCAAATTTCTAATGCATATTCATAGGTTCAGTTTTAGATTGCTACAACAAAGAATAAGGATTATAAGTACACATTTATAACTCCTTAAGCCACTAAAAAGAACTTCCTCTGTTTTTTTTTAGTTGACACCGTTTGACTTTTACATTATTCACAAATTACACTTTGACTAGTTTTTAGCTACGATAAAACATAGTTAAGTGTGATCTTGTTTGAATCGTCTCAATGTATATTTTATTAATACCCACTTTTTATAATTTTACAAAGTCGAGAATTATAGAAAGTAATCATTAAAAAAAATGCGTCGACATGCATGATAATAGAATGGTGTCAACTAAATAAAAATGAAGGTAGTATTTACTCCCTCTATTTTTAAAAACTTGCTCCATTTATCCATGCTTGAAGTTTTAGGAGAAATTGGAGAAAGTAATAAAATATGGAGGTAGTAGGGTAGGTGGAAGAATACAAAAATTGTAAAAAACGAAAATAGTTGAGAGAATTGGAGGAGAGAGAATATGAAATTAATAAAATATGATTTATATTGGGTCCACTAGTTGAGAGAGATGAATTAAATATTGTAAAAGGTTTTCAAATAAGGAAATGGAGCAAGTATTTAAAAACGGCCGGAAATGAAAAGTGGAGCAAGTATTTAAAAACATAGGGAGTAAAAAATACTAAAAGAAAAAAAGATACATTTGAGTTATAAATGGAAGTAACAATATAAATAAATAAATAAATAAATAAATAAATAAACAAACAAAATAAGAAAATTGTACGTTAAAAACATAAGGAAATGGAACAAGTATTTAAAAACGGCCGAAAATGAAAAGTGGAGTAAGTATTTAAAAACATAGGAAGTAAAAAATACTAAAAGAAAAAAAAATACATTTGAGTAATAAATGGAAGTAACAATATAAATAAATAAACAAACAAAATAAGAAAATTGTAGGTTACAGGTTTCGACCTCTAATTCTATATACCCAAGAATTAAATGAATAATTATGCTACTAACTCCACCAAATTATCTTCAATATATTTTAGTGCAGCTTAATAATATTATACAAGTACGATCATGGGGCGGGCCATGGCCTGACTGACCACTCCCCGAATCCGTCTTTGTATCCGAATATAAAAAAGGGGTCAAACCGTCAAACTTTCAAGCAAATAATTGCAAGGTCAAACCATTAATGCCTTGTCAAGCAAGTACTTTTTAAAAAAAAAATTAAAAAAAAAGAAAAAAAACCTTGAAAAAGTGACTTTTTCAAGTTCAAAAATACAAGTATTGTACTCCCCCGATCAACACAGAACATCCTCCCCAAATTCACACTACAAAAACCAAGACGAATCGGGGAAAAAGATGAGCAAAGCTAGTAGCACCGTAGCAACAACCGATAATGAGGCGGCGAAACCAAAAGTGGCGGTGGTTGTATTCTTATTAAATGGAAAGAAGGTGCTGCTGGGACGCCGTCGCTCTGCCGTTGGCAACTCCACCTTTGCTCTTCCCGGCGGTAATCTTGAGTTTGGTCTGTCTCTATTTCTCCCTCTTCTTCTCTCTCTCTTACATATTGCATTTTCTGCTTTTTTGTTTTTTCACTTTTTTAATTTCATTATATAGTTTGTTGCTCGTCAATGTTGTGCTACTAGAAGATTCATTACTATGTGATTTTTTTGCCATTAGAACTTTGAAATTTTCAAATTTGGAGAGATTTTTTTTTAGTGTTATGTAATGGCGAGTACGCTTTGTCACTTTAATTTTCAAGTGGTTTGATTCATGTACGATTACATATATTCAATTCATTTAAAATTAATTACAACATTAAGATTGAAATTTATGAGGGTAAGTTTATCACAAGTTTGGACTGAAATGTTGCAATTACTTGTATTTTACTCCGTATAATGAAGAGACTACAAATTTTTGGGATTACATTGAAAAATTATTTGGTTAAAGCAGATAAGTATAATATGTACTTTTTCCATGTTGTGATAATTACTTCGTCTCACTTATATTGATCCATATTTCTACTTTAGATGTCTCATTGATTTGGTCTTAGTTTTGTGTGAATCTGATTACTTAAGAGAATTTTATTGCTTGTAGTATTAGTTAGTGAAATTTGATGTGGTACCTATATGACTTTCATTGTAAAATTTGTACATAGTATTTTGTAATACATGATCATCAAATTAAAATTGAGTACCACAGAGTAATAGAGTATCATCTACCTCCGAATATTATTAGTTGCAACTTTAGAATATTTTATCACAAATAATACTCCAAACTTATAACTAATAATATTCGGAGGTAGTATTTAAATTGAGCCACAAATTATCATAATCAAGATGAAATTTTAATGTAATAATTAATCCAATAATTTCAGGGGAAAACTTTGAGGAATGTGCAGCGAGAGAAGTGAAGGAAGAAACAGGGTTAGAAATAGGAGCAACAGAGTTGCTAACTGTGACCAACAACCTCTTTGTTGAAGGGCCAAAACCTTTACATTACGTGACCATCTTCTTGCGTTCGTCCCTAACAAATACAGATCAAGTTCCTCAAAATGTAGAGCCCGAGAAATGTGATGGTTGGGATTGGTATGATTGGGATAATCTTCCTCAACCACTCTTTTGGCCTCTTGAGAAAATGGTCAATAGCGGGTTCAACCCCTTCCCTGCCTAGTGTAGCGATGATCTTATTATGTACTTTGTAAGAGCTAGCGATTTGAATTGGACTCACGAGTGGTGTTTGTGTTTAACATGGTATCAACCATTTTCATCGTGCTAGAAATATATCGAATATTGATGCAAGTATGGTACGATTTAAATTGAAATAATACTCTTTTTGGCATGTTTGGATTACAATGTACTCCATATGCACATATCGTGATATGATATCAATGATTCAGTATACGGAGTATATGTGGGTTATGTTCTTATGTTATTGCTTTGGCACTGCTTTACTAGTGCTTTTGTACTTGGTTTATGTTTCCGTTTTGATTGTTGTGTTTGACTTTTGTTTTAGACTTTTAGTAGTGTTGTTTGCTTTCCTTGTTTTTTTTTGCCTTTTAGTTTCCAGTTACTTTCCACTATATTGGTTTTTTTTTTTTTTTTTTTCCTCTTAGGGCTTTGCCCCTTTCTTTCCAAAAAAAAAAAAAAAAAAAAAAAAAATCATTGAAGTAAAAACAAGGTTTTTTAGATCTCCTTCGAAAGAATAGGTTTTTCGAATTCCTTCGAAAAACAAGGTGTTATTTGTGTTTGATAGGGTCTCTAGTTTTACGGGGCTACGATTGATTATTTCTCGAATTTGGATTACAAAATCATCACAAGAATTTTTTTCCTCACAAAATATTGAAGCGTCGACGGATCCACTCAAAAATTTGTATAAGACAACGAATCGAGAATATGCCGAATTGTTATATCTATGTATTTGGATTCTTAGCACTTCTTCGATTAATCCTTGTTTGATTTTGTTAAATTTGTTTTCATTATCGTTATTTATCAATTGTAGATGTCGTATGAATTTAATTAATGAAATTTGGTGTCCTTTTGGACTTCTTTAAAAAAATAATAAAAAAATTTAACAATATATTACACAATCATATTTATATACTAGATGAACCCCGTGCGATGCACGATTTGTTTGTATTTTTTCAAATAAAATATTTTACTAATATATATTTATCTAATAAACTTTGTGATATTCGCTAGTTTAGTACTTGAATTATTTATTATAAAATGAATTATTAACTTTGTTCCTCATATTTAGATAAAATTCGTAATATAAAAAGATAGTAATATTTTATTTCACAAAGTTTCATATGTGGCTGGTCATATCACATTGGGTGGTCGGATTACTTGGTTGGTCAAAGGTTACTCAATCGATCAGGGGTTACTCAGACGGTTATGGGTTACTCGGTCAGTGTTTGGGTGTGTCTCAATCAGCCACACGATATGGCAAGCCACACAAAAAACACGCTAATTTTATTTTTATAATTATATAAAATTTTTGATCTAAAATAAATTGCAATTTTTTTTTTATGTGCTAAAATATAACATTTTCCTATGTGACGCTCTAGAATTAATCTTACGTGGCAATTTTTTTTATTATAATTTTACGTGGCGCTTTAAAAAAACTAATCTTACCTGGTAAAATCCTATTGAAGTGTTTTAAAAATATTAATCCTAAATTTGTTTCTTGGTGTTTAGAAAGCGATAAAGACGAAAAGCAATAAAGACGAATAATAAGAATCGATTCGAAGATTACCTGTAACCGGGAGGAAAGTTCTAACCACTTGAGATATCCCTTATCCTCGTGTTTCCTCAATTTGTGATTGACAATTATTTCATCCAGGGCGGGCGAGGCCGAAGCTATTTACCGCTTTCTGTCTCCTCCTCTGCTACTTAAATTCACAGCTTCCCTTTTAGGTTCATTCTATACTTTCTCTTCCTATCACTACTTCTGGTTGCAATTGTTTCTATTTTTACTTAATTTTTATTTTATTTATCTCATTATAAAGGATTAATTTCAGCTAATTTTTGGTTGCTTTTGAAAAAAATTCGTTAGTTATGCTTTTCTTGCATCTTTTTAGGTTGTTTATGATTTTTATTAGTTCAATTGAGAGATTTTGCTCGTAATTTGTTCTAATTTTCGAGAAAAATTGGGCGCAACTTTTGAACAACTATGTGGTAAAGTAAGAAATATTGTGTTTGTGTGAATGGGTTTTCAATTTTGGAAAAAAGACAGTACTTTAATTATGCTTTAAGGAATCAAATTTAGGCCTGATGTTGATCAATTTGGGGGCTTTCAAGTTGATTTTTCTTTTTTTTTTTTTCTAGTATATATGTTTTTGTTATTGTATTTATTTATTATTATTTTTATGCAATGGGGAATTGAAGATCAATTTCAGAGTAATTATTGATTGACTAGGTTGTTGTTAATGGGGTAGTTTAAATTGATGCATGTGGTCTGTCCGTGAAGACGAGGGCACCAATTGAGCTGCATTAAGGGGGTGTTGAATTTTGTTGATTTTGAAGAAATAAACTTTATGGCGGGGGATTGTGGCTGGTGGTCGGGGTTATCGGTCAGGGGTTACTCGAGTTGCTCCAAATCGAGTAACCCTTGATTGAGTAACCACTCGAGTAACCCCTAACCCCTCAAGTAATTTATGACCGAGTAACCCATGACCGATTAACCCCTGATCAAGTAATTTGAGTAATCCTTGACTGAATAATTTGGATAACTGAGTAATTTGGATAACTCCTGACCGATTAACTTGGTAATTTGAATAACCTCTGACCGAGTAACTCGGGTAACTTTACCCTCACCGAGTAACTCGGATAATTCGAGTAGCCTTTGACCGAGTAAATCGGGTAACCCTTGCCACACGGCAGCCACATACAAAAATTTGTCTATGGCGTTTAGGGGCATATCTATGTGTTATTTTGAGTGTATGTAGAAGTGTGCAGGGTGCTATGTTCTTGTTCTTGTTCAACTGCTTCAATAATTAGCTACAATTTTGCTAAAGAACAATATATTAGGACAAATTTCAAGTGTGTTGCGAATTTTATTCTTCATTGATTGCATCAAAGCATTCATACTTATCTCAAATGATAAAAAAAAAATAAAAAAAAAATAAATTAAAACTACCTCCATTTCTTATAAGTTGTAACAAAGTAATTTTTTACGTCTCACAAATAATATTCGTTTGTTGCAAACTAAAAAGAAAAGAAGGTAGTAATACATTTATGCTTCTAGAACCAATACTATATTAAATTACTATTACATCAACTCCTAGTCATCATGCGAAAACAGTGACCAGCGGGATATGTTGAATCTTGGACCAGTCTTGACCATGTGGGCCTTGACATCTTTCTGTTAATCCTGGACATGCAACGATAATGAGATGGTGTAAACTGAGCGTACAAAAACCTTGTGGGACCGATTTCAATTTAGGACAATTAACCAATTCCATAACTTTTAGAGACTGGAAACAGCTTATCCATTCTGGAACTTGTTCTAGTTGATTAGCAGAGTTTGTAGGTTTGTCAATTGTTGAAGCCCAGTAGGAAGAACAACCAGTTTTGGAATATCTTCCAACAGCAATAAATGAAGACCTTTCATAGCTTCCCATATGCCAATTTCGTCTTCAGCTGGTTGTTCGATCGATGACAGTAGTTGGAGCTCTGGACAATTCACCAGGACTAAAATTTTCAATGTCGTCAGATGTTTCAGGCCTTTAGAGATGGGTTTTAAGCTTCGACAGCCATGGAATAACAATGCAGGTACAGAAGATAGACTAGTAGTGAAAACTTGTTCTAATCTGTCAGTACTTACTAGCTTGGGATCGCGGATGTCTATACCTTGAAGTTGATGCAGAGCTTGTTTTGGCAGGAATACAAGGTCTTCCACATCATCAATTGTCAAATTTTTCAATTTTAAACCAGACTCGGACCCTGAAGATGAGGTTAATGACGCTGCAGTTGTTGCCATCTTTAATACGGAGAGTGTCTTGTTGACGTTCAACATTGCTCTACATTAGGGCAACTAGGAAGAAATGTGAAGTTCGGACAGTCATCAATGACCAATTTTGATTGCTTATCAAATGATACTTGTTTTCTACTGCTGTCGTTATTTTTCCACCATCCCTTGAGATTCTTCATATTTCGCATCACTAGCTCTTCAAGTGATGGGAAGAATGAAGCTTCTGTTGAAGAGGAACTGCTCTCCAGATATTCTACACTGTCCAGCTCAATAAGCATAAGGAGCTTCAATAAACGAAGTTGATTAAAAGCCGGTAGTTGCTGGCATCTTTTCCAGTTGCTAAGCCTAATACAAACCAGATTTGGAAGATTAGTACAGAAATTATCCATCATTGCCTAACTCGGGAGCTTCTGTTCACTGTAAAAAACAATATTTAAGCCCTTGAGATTAGGATGTGGTTTGAGGCCTTCCAAAACTGCTTCATTTTCTTCAAATGTGGATTTCAATCTTATATTCAATTTGATCCACCCTTGTTTGCTGCTTAAGTTTGCTTCCTTTGCTTGTAAAGCTGGATCCTTCAGGTCACCGTTGAGTTCAATAGTCAATGATCCTTTCAGATTATTAAGGTTCTTTAGATCACTCAACTCAGCAATAGCACTGGGCTTGTCCTTGAATTCTGAATTTTTTTTGTGCCCAACTATAAAATGAGGTAACTTGTGAAGAGAAGTCAATTCTCGTATTTCTGACGGAATGTGAGTTAAGCTTGGACATTGAATGATACTAAGGGTGTTGAGATTGGTGAGTTTTCTAATATTTGTAGGCAGCTGTTTCAGCTCCAAACAGAAATCCAGTAGAAGTGTTTGCAGATTTTGAAGTTCTGTGATTGTTTCTGGAAGTTTTTCCATAGATGAATGGCAGAGGTTGAGGAACCTTAAGTGAATTAGCTTATCTATTGAACTGGGCAAGCTTTTGACTCCATGGCTACCAAGATCCAATACCCGTAAGCATCTAAAATTCGTTATCAACCGTGAACATGTCGTATTGTAGGCTGATCCATGCAGGATTTGTTGTGGCGTAAGAAACGTTCGCAGAAGCTTCAAATTTAGCATCCCACTTGGGATTTTCCACATGGTTTTTATCTGGTAATCCAAGGACAAGTGATGAATTTTGTTACTGAAGTTTCTGTCTCCCAACTTGGCAACCTTGCACTTGACTCCAGCCACTTCTCTAGCGAGATCATGTATCAGATCATGCATTCTGAAGAATATAATTTCCCCATATTCATTTCTTATTATGTTCTGAAAAAAGCACCTTTGCAACAACATAAGAAAATAATCTTCAGCAACTTCATCTAGACTCTGGCTTTCATTATCTGTTGGAACAATAAAGCCCTCGGCCATCCACAAATTCATCAGAAGCAGCTTGTGAAATACAAAGTCTTTCGGAAACAAAGCGCAATAAGCAAAACAATTTTTCAATGGGGACCAGAGGTTATGATAACTAAGCTTGAGAATTTTTATGATGCTATTTTGTTTCTGAGATATACTTGCCAGACCTTCATCTTTGAGGAGTAACCACCCTTTTTCATCCTTACCATAAAGAAGGCTCCCTACCGTCTTTATGGCCAAAGGAACATTTGCGCACTTTCTAACAATCTCCTTCCCAACCTTCACAAGATGGGGCTTCTGCTGTGATTGTCCAGGCTCAAATGCCATCTTTTTGAATAGCGCCCATGAGTTCACCTCTGAAAGGCCATCTAATTCGCGAGTTGGAAGAGTAGCCATTATTTTTGCTACGTCCTTTGCTCGCGTTGTTGCTAGGACCTTACTCCCCTTTCTGCCTATAATCTTCAACAGAGCCTTGAGCTTGAGCCATTCCTCACGACCTTCGTACATCATCCAGAACAAGCAAGTATTTCTTGTCGCTGACTTCCCTACGCAGCTGACAGAGTAATTGCTCCATCTCTAACTTGTGATTTGTTGTTGTTTTTGCATCGGCCATTGACTTGAGAATCTTTTCTGTGATTTCCTTGATATCAACGTTTTCAGATACTCATACCCACATCTTCAGCTCAAAAAGTTTGTCAACCTGAGGATCATTGTATATAAGTTGAGCTAAGGCTGTCTTCCCCATGCCTCCAATCCCTACGATTGGAATAACAGGAAGCGCCTGATGCTCATGCTCGTGAGCATCAGCAGAACTGGAGGTAACACCAAGTAGGATGTCTAAAATTATCTTCTTATCATTATCTCTGCCAATCACTTCATCTACGTCTAAAAATGAACAAGTCTGATCTCGCCTTAATACCACCCTTTCTTCAAGACGAGGGAGTAAAGACGCAAACTGGGAACTGTCCATGACAATGTCATCCAGTTCTTTCCTAATTTCTTTTATCTTATGGGAAATGTTGAAAGCCAAGGCGATTTGATTAGAACGGGAGAAGAAATTTTGTACCTCTCTAGTCACTTTGTTTCCACCTATGAGCTGTTTTCGTGCAGCAACGGTAGCAAACTCATCGAACAAGTCGTCAGCAGCATAGACAGCAGTGGTAAGCCTTTCAAGCCAACCACGAACAGCACGGCTTTCAGCTTGCTTATCTTCAGCATCCAACAGAACATCTTTGAGGGTGTTGATGGTGTTCTTGAGCTTCTCAAGACGAGCCTTGAAGCCCCATGCTTAGGCAATCTCATTAAGGGCAGTTGATCCCAGATTTTTCAGGACTTCCTGCGCAATGCCGTAAAAACGGATTCAGCCATTGTCTCCTCTCTCTCTCTTTTTTGGTCTTGTTTTTCAGAATTTTTGGTGTTTCAAGTGGATGGTTGAGGAGAAAGTTTAAGGACTCGAAGATAATAATGTAGGCCAATTGACCAAGTAAAACATGATAAGCGAAACACTCAGCTATGGTCATCGAATTTGTCTGTGGTCTGAGTTTGTAGACTAAATTTCTACTATTTGGAATTTTGATGAATAATCCAAATTCATAATGTGATATGTTGAAAGGCATTGTTGTGGATACATAACAACGAATTTACACTCAATGTTACTGGCTTCAAATGTGGCATTCAATCTTATATGCGAATCGGTCAACCCTTGTTTGCTTCCTTTGCTTGTAATTTTGTAAAGCTGGATCCTTCAACTCACCATTGTAAAGTTTGTGAGCTCATTAATTTAATAAAAACGACACAATTTTTTACAGTAATATTTATGAGATTTTTTTTTTTTAAATGCTCTTTGTTAATATCTAACTTTTTATTTTCTCTTTGGTAAATTGTAAAAAAAATTATTCCATTCAAAAAAAAAAAAAATTGTAAGAAAATTATTGGCCGTTCATTGGTCCAAAACCGGACCGAAAAATTGAATTTTAAGAACTGAACCCGGACCGGACCGAAAAAATCAGTCCAAACCTCGGACCGGACTGGTTTGGACCAATTTTAGAATTTTTATAAAAAAAATTTTCTAAATTTTAAATAATATGGTAAACTCGAAAAAAAATAAAGGAAAAACTATATTTTAACGTTTTTTTTTTTTTTTTTTTTTTTATGTTTAGTACAAAAAGCTTATACTACTAAATTATTCCAAGTTTATAAAGGATAATCTTAATCAGTATTAAAGGTTTTATGTATAATTTTAAGCAAAAAACCAGACCGATTAATTTGGTCCGATCTAGTTCGGACCAATTTTTGAACACCCCTAAATCATTGGTAATCATGAACTTTTGATTACCAAATATCATATGAGTAACTATTTTAATTAAAATACTTAATCATGGTTAGGTTTATAATTACAACACCATTTTACAAAGAAAAAAAAACCTTTAACAAGCTTTATCGTAAAATAATACCCGAAGTTTAAAATTTTTTGTTGATAGAAACTTAGTACTACTAATTCACTTAATTAACTTCTAATTAAGAACCTAGGATTACTTTTTTTTTTCTTTCCTTTTTTGGAATAATCCCATGAACATAAAGAAACCTAAGATTACTTTTTTACCCTTTAATTATTTGGATTAATTGCTCCACATTTCTTTTGCGGTCGTGTTTAAATAATTGCTCAATATTCTCCCAACTAATGGTCCCCTAATATTATATTTATATAATTTTATATTCTCTCTTCCTCACTTTTACCCACTTTTGTTTTTCAGATTATTTTTTTTATATTTTTCAACCAACCCCACTTTAATCATAAAATAATACCTTCTACTACTATTTTTCCTAAAACTCCGTATCCGAAGAAGTGGAACAATTAATTAAATACAGAGAATGGGAGTAGTAAAATTTGGAAACATTAGAGCAACTCCACTGGTTTCAACCAACCCCACAAGTTGTCTCTAGCTATTAGCTTGACCATTTAGCTTTGTCAAGCTTAATTTTTTGAGAAAAAAGTCTTCAAAATTTTAGAGGTTAGTATACTAAATTAAATTTGTAACGATAATTGAGAAAGTTAAACTCATTTAAATAGCAAGTCATTAGCAAACCATTGGTGCACAAATAGCTACAAACAATGTTAGCTTAAAATTCTACTCTATATGTGGCATGACAAACTTATTTGACAATTAGTTTACCATTGGATCGGATTTGTTCTTAGGATTCTAATTAGTGGTGTCAAAACCTATCTCGATTCAAAAAATATCCTATTCATATTTCAACTCGTATGGACACAGTAAATTAGAATGACTCAATTTTCAAATTAGACCAGATCCGTCCTCACCAAACACGATACATACATCCGAATTGACACCTCCAATAGTTATTATATGCACCATGGTGCACTTATTCATGTCTATACTTTTGAACATTTAGTAAAAAAAATTTGAACACTTTACAAAAAATGAACATTTAGTAAAAAAAATAGGAAAAATTCATGGCAATAATCCGACCTTTAGCCCATTCTTTTTTGATAATCCGACCTTTGGGGGTCTTTAATTTTTATTGGTCCCAATCGGTCATGTAACCTGTTATAACAGGTTACATGACACGTGGCGGCATGTGATTGGTAAAAAAATTAAAAAAAAAAACAAAAAAACAAAAAAAAAAAAGAAAAAAAAAAAACCTAGCCACCCTACCCCCACCCACTGCCAGTCCTCTCTCTCTGCTGCTGGCGAACCCTCCCTCCCCGGCGGCCGGCGAACCCAACCTCTCCCTTACCCTTCTCTCTCCCCCACCCACGACACCACCCCTCCCACCCTGCCGGAAACAACCCCCTCCCCATCCCCACCCGAAACGCCACCCAAAACCTAAACCCCGTTAGAAAACAATCAAACCCCCCCGATTTTCCTCCTTGGTTGCTATGCTGCTCTTCGATCTTCCCATTCAACCATCAAAACCGTTCATCACCATCAATCGACATCATCAACAACTAGCATCACAAAATCTCAACCATTTGATTTAGCAACTTGATTGAGGGGCGCCTGCTCCGTTTTTTAATTGAAATCGAGCTGAATCTATGCGTTGTTGCTTCGATTTGTGGTTGCTGCCGCTTATTGAGAGGTGTGGCTGCTGGTTTGTGGTGGCGCGGTGGTGGGGGGAGGGGCGACGGGTTTTCTCGAGGTGGGAGTTCAATAAAGGAGGGAATTGAAGGAGTGCGGTGGGAGGGTGGGTCGCGTCACCGGCGTGGGGGAGGCGGGAAATCGGCGCGCAGGGGGAGGGGGCAAACCGGCACAGGGGGATGGTGGTTCTGGGGTTTGGGTGGTGTATCTGGAGTAAGGCGGTTTTCGTGGTGGTTGACGATGGGAGTAGGCTAGCTGGTGGAAGGTTGTGGCTGGGGTGGTTTTCGTGGTTGACTTGGATGGGGGCAACGATTTATGTAGCTTAATTGGTGGTGGGGGTTGCTGCTAGGGGAGGGGAAAAGGGAGTAGGTGGCTGATTGGTGGTGGGGGTGGTGGTTTGGGTGGTGGTGGGCTGCTAGGGGAGTGGCTGCCAAGGGATGGTGGTGGCTGAATTATTTGTGTTTTTTAATTATTTTTTTTTACCAATTATGTAATGACACGTGTATATAAAAAAAAAATTACCTCTTCATCCGGTTTCTGGTCAAATGGGACCAATAAAAATTAAAGACCCCCAAAGGTCGGATTATTAAATAATAATCGAAAGGTCGGATTATTAAAAAAGAATGGGCTAAAGGTTGGATTATTGGCATGAATTTTTCCAAAAAAATATGAACACGTCACAAAAATTGGGACGATTTACCAAAATATGGCTCATTTGAAACTTATTTACCATTTTGCATTGGTACTGAACTTAATTACGAAATTGTTGCCCACGTAGGCTCGGGTAGCTTTGTTAATTTTTTTAATTTTTTTCAGCTTGAAGCCGCTGCTTAAAATAGCGGTTTTAGTATATAAACCACTACTCAAGATAGCGGTTTTAGTTCATAAACAAGTAGCGGTTTTAGTCGGAAGCTTATACTTGAAAATTTGTTCAACCTGTAGACATCTTTCATCCCTCATTTGTTCAACCTGTAACTATTTCCTACACCGTACACATTCATAAAAGTTCTACATTTAAACTACAGATTTGGGTATTTTTTACTCCGCCATGTGGACCAACCAGAGCGTGACATGTGTCATTCTTGGAAGACCCCAAAGTGGACCTACCAGGGCTAGGCATATGGTAGACAGATACTCCATATGGAATTGGCAGCCTTCAAGGCCCAATTCCCTAGACTGCCAAAAAACGGCGCAGCCCATCAGTCCTAGGTTTCTATAACCTAAGACAGAGGCACAAATTCCAATGACCTTATAAATAGGGAGATTTACCCCACTTTGGGGAGAACATTCGATGATTGCAACATAATCAATTCTCTCACATCAGAGAAAAACACCTGATCTTGGAATCCGAGAAGATCTCACTTTACATTCCGCACCTTTTTAATTCTCCGTACACGTTCTAACTTGATC